ATTTAACAAATAGTCAATTAACTTTAATATAATTTTACCATTTTTCCAGCCAACTACAAAGATTTTTAAAAATTTATTATAATCTTAATATACTTCACTATGAATGCAGTGAGGTTGCATTATGCAGACATTTAATTTCCATGAATTCAACTATAAACTCTAGTGGGGGAAAACTGAGGATTTCAGCAGCATGGACTCCATTCCACTAAGTAAGCTTATGTCTTCCCCTGGGAGCTCCAAGCATGAATGTGGCACAGGAGCTGTCCAGTCACACAAACCTCTCTCCTTATGTGAACCCTGCCAAGCTCAGATCCTAGTGGTTAAAAAGTAGTTTTTATGCAACAAAGCCCCTAAAAAAGCCAGCTTCTTTATCTGGTGCACCACTAAATAAAATTATTTTTGGAGTTTCTGGAAGAAAAACTAGCTACTTTGCACTCCTGTGAGATGCAATGAATGCATACTTTATCAAGTTAAGGAATTTTAATGGTAATTTTATTAAAATCTATTTTTCTTGGTCATGTCTGTTAACTTAACTGGATCCCAATATGCAAGTACAATATAAATGGTTTTTTTTTTTCATTATTATGACAAGAATGTATGTAGCTTAAGCAGAGATGGCTTCTTCCAAAAGGCCACATTAAGAAATATTAATTCTCAATTGTTTTAAGTCAACTCCATACAATGCTTTTTAGATATCCCAAGTCCTCCAACTTACTTTGTTTTCATCTGTATAATTTGGTCTGATTTAACTCAACTTTAGCATTCCTCATACAGAATCAGAGATAGAAGAAATTCTGAAGTCACATAGTCAATTTCTCTCTTCAAGCTCACAGAGCAGCTGGAGACTTCAGTTCAGTGAGCTACCAGTACTATAAATTCCTTACTCTCCATCTGAAATGAATTTTCATACAAAGGCAGAAATGTAATATATACAGACTTTTAAAAAGACAAATTTTATACTAAAACTCAATGAACAAATCCATTGAGTATTAAAACTAAGCATCTCAAGCTGGGGTTAGCTCAGTGTAGAACACTTGTCAGGCACACAGAAACCCTGGGTTCCATCTCAAGCACCAAAAATACAAAAATCAGGCTGGGGGAGGGAGGCAGGCATAGCTCAGGTGGTACAGCACCTGCCTAACAAGAATGAGGTCCTTAGTTCAATCCCCAGTACCACCAAAACAAACAAACAAACAAGCAAACAAAATCAGAACAAAAAACCAACTCAGCATCTCTGGTATTTAGAACCTCATGTTGACTTATGAGTGGAACTGCTTCCTCATAAGTTCTACACTGAGCTCCAGGGGAACTCCATCAAAATGGGCCTCCTTTACAAAATTTGGTTTTGGATATATTTAACAACTTTATTTTCATTTGCCCCCTTTTTTTTTTTTTTTAGGAAAAAAAATCCTTACCCTTAAAGTTTTATTTTTTAACCTTTCTTTAAAAAATACATGTTTGAAATTTTAACAAAAAGTGCAATAAGTTTTAAAAACTATTTAAAGCTTTTGATTTGGATTTTTTAAAATAGACAAAAATAACAATTTTCAAGATAAAATGTGCACATTAAGGGGATGAGTGATGAGATTATTTGTCTGGTAGCAGCCTAGATTGAGTTTCAGATAAAAGAAAGTTTCTGTCACATTAGGATATAATACCCTAATGCCCATTTATTCACGGCACACACTATTTTCTTTTAAAAGACAAATACAAAATGATAAATGAGTTTTATGCTAAGATGTAAGAGATCTTTCAAATATCTGAATTAGTCTTAAGTCTAAGAATCATGTTTTAATGTCCTTACCTAAAATGTAAACATTTTTATAAAATTTGAACTTACTACAAAGATATCACTGACATCACTGACATTATTTTTGTCTTGCTTAATTAAAATGCCCCTGTCTAGAATGAACACTGTAGTTTCGCAATAAAAGCAATGCTCAGCTAGGCACCAGTGGCTCACACGTGCAATCCTAGCTACCTGGGAGGCTAAGATCGGGAGGATCAAGGTTTGCAGCCAGCCAGGGTAAAAATAGTTGGTGAAACCCAATCTCCAAACTAACCAGAGCAAAATGGACTGGAGGTGTGGGTCAAGTGGTAGAGTACCTGCTTAGTAAGCACAAGGCCCTCAATTTAAACCCCAGTTCCACCAAAAAAAAAAAAGTCATGCTCAGGGCTAAACTCCAGGTGTCACATAACCTTTTTTGATCACAAGCATCTTTGAGAAACTAATGAAAGTATAGTAGCCTCTTCCCAGAAGTTCCACAGGTGCACACTAAATCTTAATATAATGTTCAAAGGAGGGGTCATGCTAAGATCTATCAACTCCAGGAAATTAACTGCCGCCTTGGATATTACATGGGAAGACGGCCTTAACACATAATGCCTTTGGTATTTATACACCCTGTACCTCGATTGAGATGGGTATCAGACAGGCAGCTGGGTGCCTGAAAATGTAGGCTGCCCACCATATTTGCGGTCATTAACTGCTCCATAGTCACAGTAGCCTGCTGTTCACTGTCCATCACTGCTCTATAATCCCAAACCACCAGACCCTGTGCCATCACATCCCTGCTGCCCTCTGCAACCAGCTTTGATCTAGCCACTGCTGACAAGTAACTGTCCTTTAAGGTGGTGAGTGACACAACTCAAGAGTTTCAGAAGGCAGGGCATTCCAGGTTTATGCAAACCTGAAAAACTACAAAATTCTTTTCTAATTTGATTAAAATGTTGTCCTACTCAATTTCTCCTGCATTTACTTATTAATAGGTAGCAAAGTAACTCATCATTCAAAATATCTAATCCTAAAAATCAGGACCAAAAATCATTTAGCTGTATTTCTACAAACAGGAAAGTCAGAATTTTGCTAAAAAGTACTTTTTATTTGGAACTTACAACACAAGAGATTGATATTGGTTCAATTCAAGAAAGACACAAGGTTTCCACACGTACAGCATTTTCTACCCCGTTAAGCTTTTCTTCTCCGCACAAAAAAAATTGAAAATGCATCGCATTAAGAGTAGAATTGTATATACTTAAAATTAACATCAATTCTGTCTGCAAATAGCTTACCCTCTACGTGTCTATGACTGATTTCATAATATACAGTTATAATCAATGCAATATAAATATAGTAAAGATCATTATTTATTCATTAGATAAAACCTGGCTTTTGGGGCAATTTCAAGTTATCTCAGTCACCTTCAATAGCTCCTTTTTTTCAATATATATATTGAAAAACCCTCCCACTAAAATCACTGTATGTGTAAGTGTGTATGGTTCATTTATCATACGTAAGGCAACTGGATACAAGTGCTTAGTTCATTTGAGAACAGGAAATATAAGCAATTTTAACTTTTTCATTAAGTAATTTCACACCAGTTCAAGTAAAAAAAAAAAGATTCATAAATATTTCAGTGATTGATTTATTCCAATAAAAACTGTTAACTGACCATGAATTGGTTAAACCAGCCAAATCTAATTCTCAAAGGGGTGAGGCTGGTGGGGGGGAGGCACTCTTTTCTGGGCTTTATCTCAAGGAATGAAACAAGGAGAAGGCTACCTGGGAGGAACTTCCCATTTGGCTTCCAATAATTACACTTTCTGTCTGGTGCCAGTGGCTCATGTCTATAATCCTAGTTATTTGGGAGGATGGAGGTTCAAGGCCTGCCTGGGCAAATAGTTCAAGAGACCCATCTCCAAAATAACCAGAGCAAAAAGGACTGGAAGCCTGGTTCAAGTGGTAGAGTGCCTGCCTTGCAAGCAGGAAGCCCTAAGTTTAAATTCCAGTCCCATCTCCCCCCCCCAAAAAAAAATTAAGATAAAAAATTAAACTTTCTGCAGGGATGCAAAGCTGGTCCCCCTAAATGAATTGTCTTATTTTTCAGACTGCTTTTTCAGTAAGTTTACAGGGTAAATATACAATACTCCCTTAGTAAGAAATACATTTCCTGATAAATAACTGCTCCTCTACTTTTCCAGGATGGCTTGAAGAATAAATGCTGTTTAAAACAAAACAGCAAAAACTCAGCCTGAAAAGACAATACAACAACCCAGCCTAAAAAGACAAAACATCCTCAATACTCCCCTAACACTACATTATACACAGAAATCACTTTAAAGCTCAGGAAAGGCAGTATTTCTGAGTACTTCTCTTATCATAAAATCATCTAGCTCATCCATTCAGTTCATTCTTCCAGGTGAAAATAGTCTCGCTCATCACAAACACAACGTGCAGTGCAACGTTTTCTTACACTTCAGACTGGAAGACCATCATTTAACACTGGGTCAGGCTCAATCCCGTATATATGTGTACTTAAGCAAATATCGTCAACCTCGAATTAGTTTATTAAGGTCTGCCTTTTAACAAAAAAGTTCTTTCACTGGCTTGTTATATGAACATAAAACCGAATGCTGGAAATAGCTGACTTCCAGCACAGCCACGGATACCAAGTTTGTCAAACACTGCCCCACCCCTTGCAAGAGCGGATGACTGGAACATTTTAATGCACTGCATCACGTAGTAGCACAGCTACAGAAACTTCACACTGACGCCAGCAGTTGCACATTTTCCAGTAGTTTTCTTTAAATGGACTGCGCATTGCTCTCCATAGCAAGCGTCACCAGCATTCAGGTACACTGAAGACAAGGAAGGGATGACCACAGACTCTGTAACACACCCTCCCAACTTTCGCGTGCATACTTTTGTCACTGCTTTCCAGAAGTTCAAGTCCGCAAATGCAAAGAATTCAGGAGTTCCTTGCCTCCAGGTGTCTATAAAGTGGGAGGGTCCAGTTGCTACCTTATGAAAATTCAAATAGCCAACCACGATGCAAAGGGGAACAGGTCCACTGCTTCAATATAGACGGATTTCACATTTTTCGAGAGCCCTTGGCGGGATGTTATTTCCCAAACCCGCCCCTCCCCCCGCCGTCTCTGCTCCCGTCCCCTCCCCCCCTTCTGGGAAGTCCTTACTTTGACGCAGTTGGGATGCTACTCACCGAGCTTTTCCACCAACTTGAGCATCACCCCTCCGATGTGCACCTCCCCGGTCACTCGTAGGGTGACATCGCGGTTCAGGTCTGTCACATGGACACTCAGTTCCCACGTCCCATCCGCGTAGCAGCCATCTGGCATCCTTATCCCGTCCAGAGCCATGGCTCCTTCCTGCGAGCGCGGAGGAAATGGCTCTCGTCAGCGTCACTCCCCCAAAGGAAGACAAACCCCACCGAGCTCGCGGCGTCGCCTGCGGGGTGGGAGACGGCGGGGGACCCTGCAGCTTTCCGCGCAAAGTCGAGGGAGCGGTGGCGGCGGTGGATAGCCCCGGCCCCGAGCAGCCCTCAGCGGCTCCGCGCCACCCTCCTGCCCGCACGCCCGCCTAGCGGACCGCGGCGGCTTCACCTGCCCGCCGGGCAGCCGGCCGCACCCGGCCCGCTCGCCCCGCGCCACCCCACGGATCCCGGCCGGGCCCCGTCCCTCACCGCGCGCTCTGGCGCTCCCGGCCCGGGGCTCGCGCGACCACAGGCGTGAGGGCGGCGGCTGGCAGGGCGGCGTCGTGCGGCTCCTCCCGGCCCGAGCGGCTAATGGAGTCCCGTCGTCGCGGCCCCTCGCCTGGCTCCCCGCGCTCCACCCCTCTCTCCCCGCCCCCTCGCTCGGCCCGAGTCCGGCCGGCTGGGCGCGCCTGCTCCTCCTCCCTCGGCCCCGAGCGCCAGGCCGGCCCCGCGCCCTCCCCGCCCCCGGCCGCGCTCCTGGGACGGGGAGGGGGGGGAAGGAGGAGAGGGGAGGAGGGGGCGCGCGCGGAGTCGGGCGGGGTAGGGCGGGGCGGGAGGCGGGGGAGTGGGGGGGGGGCGCGCCGGCGGCTGCAATCTCGGCCCTGTGGCGCGCTGCCCTTTTATGGAAATGAAGGACCCAGCGCAGGGATTGAATCCAACATCCGGGCTCTCGGCGGCGGGACCTGAGGAGGGGGAGCGAGGGGAGCGCGGGCGGTCTTCCCCCACCCCCTACCCCGGGGCGTGGGTGGGTGGCGGGGCGCGCGCGGGGTTCGGGCTGGGCGCGCCCCGCGCCAGGGTGCCTCCTACTTGCAGTCGGGGGAAGGGGCTTGTCCGTGAGAAATGGCCACAGGAAATTCCCAGGACAAGGACTTTTTTTTTGGGGGGGGGGTCGGCGGGGGACAAAGTCCTTCCGCCCCCCTCCCCACGCCTGGAGCGAGTCCAGAAGACTACGGGCGGTGAGAGCTGCCCCTCCTCCTGGAGCTGGAGAGAGGAGTTGGGGATGAAAAAAAAACTTTAAAAAGTCAATGCCTACCCCAGCTCCATGAACATCCCACAAAGGAATGAGAAAACCCAGAGGGAGGTGAACCACAAAAATTGCCTTGCAAGCAATGTCCGGAGCTTCTACTGGACTCCTTGGAGTTTGCAAGCTTCTCAACCCAATCGGACGGAAGCTCCCACCAGATAGGAGTCAAATGCGTCTTTCCAAACTCTTGCTTGAAGGGGGTGTGGGGGGGAATCCAGTGCAATGGTTTTGCTTAGAAACCGCTTCTCCAGCCCCTACGTGCGCTTTACAGAATTTATATATTTTTAGCTGCAATTTGGAACTAGCAATCTAAAGTCTTAGATGGATGTGCATCCTCGACCTCACCCTCTGCCACACCTTGAAAGAATTTTAATGGCTCTGGACGGGTGCCTGAAGATACAGGGAAGAGCTAAAGAACTTTACCTGTTGAAGACTGAGTACTGATGGAGAACGGTCCTCCTGTTCATCACTTTATTTCCTCTTTTCCCATTTGCTGTTGCACTCAATTTGGGGTACTGCTCAGAAACAGCAAGCCAGGAAACTGCCTCTCGCTAGCAAATGCTCAAAAATACTTAGGTCAGGAAGATTGAGCTAAAGATATATCCCGGTGTTAAAAGTCACTTTGTCTTCCCTGGCTGTCTCTCAAACACTTAGAAGGGGAGCCCACCAGGCAAATAACCAATTTGTTCATCAACACAACTGGTCAAGAAATGGGAGGGACCCATAAAGGAGGGAAAATAGCAAAATTTTAGTTAAATGCCAGATGCATCGTCTCTAGTCTTGTCACTCTACAGTTATTTCTATTCATGAACGTTCCAAATAGTTCATTTGGAAGAAATACCATTGTCTAGGGAGGAAGAACTATTCATGTAAATGATAGCGTTGAAAATATATGGTAAAATGTCAATAAAAATAGAGAAATGCTTGAGATGATAAAATACAAACGCTACATGCAGCTTAAAATCAAGAGCTTATCTATTTTTAACTATTCAGAGAAAAAAGACTGGAAGGAAGTTCATCAGATGTTAAGAACCTATCTGAGTGTTGAGATCATGAGAATTTTTTTTTTTCTGTTCTTTGTTTTTTTACAAACTCAAAAACTTCATATTCAGGACTTTTCTGTCATCACTGAGCATCAAATCCAGCGTCACAGTTCCTCTGTGCTTGCCATTACATTCACAATTAGACAATTAGCTACTGGATGCCTGGTTAAGACTTTCACATAAAACTCGAGTTCTTTAAGAGCAGGTTCTTCAAATTCTTTGCCTTTTCCTCAATTTTACAAACAGCTTAGCGCAAGGAAAATGCCAAGCATGCTGGCACCAAACCAAGGCAAATGTCAAAGATTCAGTAGTTCCATCCCATGGAAAAACCTCAACCTTGGGGAAAATCCCCACTTTTAAATTCCCCCCACCTTATCCCCAGAAGATTTATGACGCTGTATAAGAATACATACACTTGAGAAGGCATACATTACAAGTGACATAAAATAGTTTAAAGGGGAGGGGCAGAGGTTTCAGAGGGTGGGGTAGAGATTTAAAATGGAGTTGGGAATGAGGTTCAGAATTTTACCTTAATGCCCTGTGCACATGCTCCAAACAACTATAGCTTCTCAAACGTGCCTTTATGGAACCAAAATTATCCATGTCCTCTGAGGATACCCTTTCCTTCAGAGGAAGTTGCAGGGGTCAGCTGTCAGGGCCCAACAGCCCCTCCATGACACATTCAAGTTCTTTTCCAGTGGCAGTTCCTTTATGAACAACCCTCTACTACAGCCAGCATCTGCTCTTCTACTGTGTGTCTTCACTTCTAAGAATGTTCCCTACATTTAGTGTGTGTGGGGGGGAATTTTAATATTGTAAATAATTGCCCCATCTTAATTAAAGCTTTATAAGACTGTATTAGGAAAGTCAACAGTCAGTTTAAGCAATATGACACAGAGACAGGCAGAGACTCTCAGTCAAGTACCTTTGGAAGAATAATTAGATCAGGGTGGGCACAACTGGTCCCTTCAGGCCTTCCTTTTTAGTATTTCAAGCTGTCAATGCTTTGAAGATTAACGAGGAATCAGTCTCAAACCTCTGAAACTGGGAATTATTTTTTTTAGTTTATCAAGTGCAATCTTCAAGTGCATTTCTTAAATATTTACTTCTACCTAATGTTTTCCAACGTATTTAAATGTAGAATCTTATCTGAAACTCCTCCTCCTCCTCCCCCGCCTCCACTAGAACCTCTAAGACAATACTTGTGGTACTTACATCATACTGAAAAGTAGCTGAGAACTCCAGTGTTTGGAAGAACAGCTCAAGTGTTGAAAGCAGCAATATCCAAATAAGGTTCCAAGTACTGGACTCAGATTTAGACCAAATGATACTTCACAGATCTGCCATCAAATGCAGCCCTAAGGGTTGGTAAGCCTCCGTTGACTTCAGCTTTCTCTCTGACCTGACTGACGCTGTGTTTTAAAAGGTTATTTCTAAAAGGTTAATACAAAATATCTCAAGGTTTGAAAGAAGAGGTTGGGGGTAGCAGAAAATAAGAGAGCTTTTAAGTAAGCATGTGAAGAGGGAACTTAAAATTTTAATATGAAACCAGCAAGATGAAATGTAATGAATTCTTCCTGTCAAATACCAGGTGAGCAGAGTTCTCTCTTTGCCTTGGGGATTGCCAAAGATGGAACATACTGATAAAGCTACCAATGAGGCAGAAATCAAGGAGAGCGGCGTGAACTACGACTGGTATGGAAGGTAGCAGAGCCACTTTCTTGATATAAGTAGAAGTCTCTAAAAAAAAAAAAAAGCAAGGAAAATACTAGCAAAGTGAGAGCCAAGGAAAATTTTTCTGAGTATAGGTCTGTTTTCACACAGACCAAAAGAAGGGCTCTGAGATAATAATCACACTTCTACTTTAAGGGAGAGGAATACACTGCTTGTATTTACTGCTTTGTCACAGAAAGATTTTTTTCCCACAGAAAATCATGTGGGAAGGTACATTTTTTTTCTTCCTCTGCTTTAAAAGTTTGATCACCAGGATATCTTGTGAAATGTTTTGATCCTTGATGAAAATATGAAATGCTCACACACTCATAACAGCATAGTAGCTAATTGTGTGCTTAGCACAGTGTTGGACACAGAGCTAGACATGTAGATGTGTGTAACACATGTCACAAGCTTTTAGGGAACATTGATCATAATGTAGGGGGCTCATATTTAAAACATCAGAAAGGATATGCACATGTGAAAGAATGAAGTACCTCACACTATACACAAAAATTAAGCAGGGAGCTGGTGGCTGAAGCCTGTAATCCTAGATACTTGGGAGGCTGAGATTGGGAGGATAGAAGTTCAAGGCCAGCCTTAGCAAACAGTTCTTGAGACCCCATCTCCAAATTAGACAGAGAAAAATGGACTAGAGGTGTGGCTGAAGCAATAGAGCACCTCATGCTTTGCAAGCATGAGGCCCTGAATTCAAACCCCAGTCCCACTTAAAAAAATAATTAACTAAAAATGGAGCATGGACTTGAGATGTAAGATCTAAGACTATAAAATACTCAAAAGAAAACATAAGACTAGCCAGGCATGGTGTATGCCTGTAATCTCAGCACTCCAGAGCTAAGTAAGGTTGGAGGATCTTGAGTCAAGGCCAGCCTGGGCCTAGAGGCCCTGTAGAAAGAAGAAGAGAAGGAGAGAGGGAGAGAGGAAGGGGGGGCGGAGAGAGAGAGAGAGAGAGAGAGAAGAAGAGAGAAAGGAAAGATAGAAGGATGAATAGAGAGAGAACATAAAACTAAATCTTTGCAATCTTGGATTAGGCAATGGCCTCTTACATAAGACATCAAAACATAGCAACAAAAGGAAAATTAGGTGAATTAGATTCCATGAAAATTTAAGGGGCCTGGAATGTAGACCAGCGGTAGAGCACTTGCTAGCATATGCTTGGCCCTGGGTTTGATCCCCAGCACCACAATAAATAAATAAATAAATAAATAAATAAATAAATATATTCCAAAGAATATCATAAAAATATGGAAAAACAGAGAGTGGGGAAAATATATAAAGATCTAGGCTGGCGGAGTGGCTCAAGTAGTAAGAGCACCTGTCTAGCAAGTGTGAGCACTGAGTTCAAACCCCAGTGCTGCCAAAAAAAAAAGAAAGTACCATTGTAAAGATGTATTACAACTTACAAATAATTAAAAAGGAACAAAGGATTTGAATAGATAAAAGATATACAAATGGCTAATAAGCACATAGAAAGGTGCTCAGCCTCATTAGTCATCAAGGAAATGCAACCAAAGCCACAATGAGATGATACTTGTGCCCACTAGGATAGCTAGAATAAAAAAGATGACAGTAACCATGTTTGGTAGGAGCTGGAGATACTGTAGCTCTTACACCTTGCCGATGTAAATGTAAAGTGGTCAGTTGTTTTGAAAAATAGTTGCTAGTTCCTCACAAAATTAAACATGGGG